GCAGTGGCCTCACTGATCTACTGTACCATCCCGCTGTGGGGCACGGTGCTCTCGGTGGTCTTCCTGCAAGAACGGCTCGGCCCGCAGTGCCTTGGAGTGGAAGACGGGTTTTGTCATAGGGGCTGAGGCAAAGGGGAGGGAGGGGAGGGGAGGGGAGGGGAGGGGAGGGGAGGGAGGGGGGGGTGTTTTTTGTTTTTGTCATGAGGGCTGGGGAAAAGGGAGGGAGGGAGGAGGGGTGGGGCCCGAAATTGGCCCTAAATGGGATCATAAGGTTGGGAAAGAAATCAGTTTTTGTTGTCCTCTTGCGAGGGGGAGAAAAGATCAGGGTCCTGGTAGATCACTCGGGGTTTATCCAACCAGTTCTGTGATCGGGAATCTCCCCCTTTATATGGGGAGCCCTTTTGGTCATTTCCCACAGCCCTGGAGAAAACGGACTCCAATCAGAGATCTGATGCGTGACTCGCGGCTAGACTGAAATAGGCATGTCGTTTCAGGGTCAGAGGCGCAGGTCTGTAGCATCCGAGCTGTCAAGTAAGTGTGTGTGTGTGTGTGCCAGATGTTCTGGTAGTCTTTTTTTGTAATATCGCTTCTGTCAGGTAGCAAGGCGTATTTTTTCCTCCGCTTGCTCAGTGAGGGCCGTTTCTTAAGGTGGGAGTTAAAAGTCGTGTAGTGTAATCATGTTTTATTTTTGTTCCCTTGTCCGGGCTCATGCCGTTTTGGGCATCTCATTGTTTCCTGCAAAGCATGCCGCTTTGCTCTCTGACCGGCAGAAGCTAGTTGAGTGCTGGTTCTTTTCTTTTTGCTTTATTAGAGCTTGCAACGCCAGCCGACACCTCTTTGAGGCTGGAGTGGCTGGCCCATTCTTGTTTGGACTCATGTGAGCCATGTCCTAAACAGACATGATTTGCCATGTTGTATCATTTTGCTTGCGCCACTAGCTTACGCCACCTGACGAGCGTGGAGTCTTTCCTTCCGCGACCACATGTGGAGGTTTTGCTTACGCCGCCAGCTTACGCAACCTTACGCCGTGGAGATTTGGCTTACGCACAGGTCGATAGACACGACTCTTACTACACATGTACACGGAGGTTTTGGACGCAGCACCTCGTGGATCGTTGTGAAATTCAGGAGTTGCGGTGATCATTCTGGGCATGACGGCTGTTTCACGGTCCATTGGCGCTGCCCCTGCGCGCTCACATTCGCTCAAGCTCGTTGTATTGCACGCAGGTGCATCCGTTCACTATCTGCGCACAAGATGAAGGAAGGAGAACAACGGCGCGCACTCACTCGAAGGAAAGAATGTAAACGTTTGTCGCATTGTGCACCAAGCTTGTCTCTGAAGAGCTCTCAAAGGATCTGACGGTACGCCCTTCCGTTTCGCCTGTCCAAGGGTCCAAGGGAAGCAAATTGGTGTGCCTCGCTTTCTGCTGAAACCCGGTCTTTTTCGCGGCGAAGCTGACAACAATGCGCTCTCACAGTCTGCTTGGAGTCCGTGCCCAAAGATCCGCCAAGCCATCAGCGGTTGCGGATCGTCACAACCCGCCGGACGGCCACAGCAAAGGCACAGACAAGAATAAATCATCGAGTGTTTGGTCAGAAACAGCTGCGAATTGGCCAAGAACCCGGAACAACTGCCTAATCACGGCATCACCATTGGTGGATGTGGTTCCCTTGTCCCTTCTCAATGGGCGTTGCCGATTTTTCCGTGTCTGTGATGGCACACCATGCAAAGGAGTTGCGACACAGGTGGGTATGGGTCAAAATTAGACCACCAGGAACCGCAGGTTTTGGTCCATGTTGCCACTTACATTCAAGCCATTTGGGGGTTACCCTATGTTTGACCCACAGCCAGGTCCCTGGAAGTTGCACAGCTTGTGTTCAGCGCAAATCTAGCGCCTTGCAGCTCAGGGCCATCGTGGCATCGGGCATCATCCTGGCATCCTCGTGCGAGCCTTAAGATGCGCTGAGGCAGTGTTTGAGGATTGCCAGATGGGTGTGACTCAAAATGAAAGAGCTGGGGTTACGCAGGTTGTTGTCGTTGGTTCCAAAATACCCAGGGTCTATTTTGGTACCTTTTTTTGAGCCACAAGCAGATGTTGCATCAAGTTGCAAAATAGGTATTGCTGCTAAGGGCTAACCGTCCTCGAGTCTCTAGCCGTGATTGGTCAGAGCGCTATGCATGTGGGGACAGGCAGTGTACGATTACGCCTTCATGACCTTCATGATTGTGGTTTGAGCTATTTGGGCGGCTCGTCCAAGACCCCCCCAAAAACATGTTGCTGTTCCTCACGGTTTCCCTTATCAAAGAGGGTACCAACAGTTGGAATCCGCCCAGGTTCGCACCGAGCCTGGTGGATTTGGCAAAGGAGGCCCAACAGCAAGAGGAGGTATGAGCACAGCGCCTGAAGGAATTTGAAGCGGGCCTCGTAACAAAATGCAAGACCAGTTGCCCAGTGGCGCCTGCTTTTAAAAATCGCTCCGCGTTCAACACAACCAACCAAGAAATTGGATGCCCTTGTTTCCCACAACCACAGGGCATCTGAGAAGAACATGTCATAGGCCCGGCCACGCCACAACCTTGTGGCGGTGACTTCAACTTCCTGCCAGCGAGATGGCGATGGAGAAATTGTCTGGATCGATATTAATCACCCTAGGTCCCCCAGTGGTGCTCTTTTACCAACTTGTTTGGTTGGGAGGGTTTCCCTTCTAAAATAGACTGCAGAAAAAAATTACCCTTATTCTAACCTCTTTACTGGAGGACCTAGTACCTATACTGCGCGATGCCCAGGACTCTTCCAGCTGGGTCTCAGATAGATTTTCTTAGAGCATAGGTGTCCTTTTGACCGGTTGCTTTGGTTAAAATAGATGGATTTCATTGGTTTATATTTGGTTGTTCCATTTACCAGGGAAGCCCATCTTTTTTTTCCAACAGAATGTCTCCTTAGATTGAGGCAATCCTTCCATTCTCAGAGACCCAGCAACAATCCTTAGCGCCATAGGTACAGGTCTGGCTAGGAGCTGATTTCAAACTCCGCGCCAGTGAAGAGATGCATGACGTGAGCTCGCCGGCACTCTGGTGCCCAAGTTGGGGCGTCCCCAAGTTCCAGGATACCCTTTTTCCCTTAAAACCCAGCAACAAAGGGGTAGCAGCCAAACAACACGCGCCATTCATAGGCATTCCATAGGGGGTGAGTAGGAATCATAGCGCAAGTTCCCAAACGGGAAACGGGACACCGTCACCTGGATTTGACAAATTTTCCCCCACATCCCCCATGGGAACCCCATCCCCAACCAGCTCCATGCCCCCCACATCCTGCACGGGAACCCCATCCTCCCTTCCGATGGGGTTGGTTGGGGGGGGTTCCCATGGAGGATGTGGGGGGCATGGGGGCCCAGCCGCCAGCCGTTGTCAGTCCTTCTGCGGAACCCGGGTTTTTGTCTCCCCTTTTTGGGGGTGGAGGCATTTTTTTCTTTCGCTCAACCATCCCGGTGCTTTGTGGCTGTGGTGGTCAAAACTAATGGGATCCCATTTTGGGGTAGGTGAATTCACCACCCATGTTTTAGTCGGGATTTTAGTGGGGATTGGGATGTTCACTTGGGGGTACGATTTGGATTTTGACCCGTGGCCTTGTTGTTCCGCGACCACTGCGCAAAGTCAGACAAAGCAAAGCACCAGAAGCCCTGTCAATGCGAAGCCCTTGATGTCCTATGCCGGGTCCAAGTAGTGTCTCAAATAGAGAGAATCGTTCGCTGGTGGTGGCATTTGAAGGGAAAGCAAAAGGAACCTGTCCATGTGGAGGGGTCCAACAGCAAATTGGCAGAAACCCGTTGTGTTTGGATATGTACTTCGCCCCAGCTTTAACGCCTGCATGCTGAGAACATACCAGGGGCTTGGTATGGCCACTTGGCAAAAGGCATTGAGGATCCACGGAACCCTGCAGCAGCGCCATTCGAGAGTCGTTTCTTTCGCTTTCAGTTACCAAGTCCGTGGTCTCGGCAAATATAATATATATATACACACTATATATCTACATACATATGCATGAATACGCGTATACATATATATATATATATATATATAAAAGTGTCCACCCTACCATCTAGCACATGAGTATGTGTTGCAAGAGTTCTAGCAGAGAGCCGCAGCAAACTTAACAGCTTCAATTGTTGCTGGTTGCCGTCTAGATGCATTTGCTGATAGGAGTGCAGCATGCAGGGAGTTGCACAGCTTGGGGCTTGTTTGGACATGCTTGAGTATGGCGCAGCGGTCTAGGTTAGTGAAGTTGTCTTTGGCAGCTTTTGTGCTGGTTTGCCATGCGCTGGAATTAACTCCCACATTGTTTCCTGTATCCTGAGAAACTGAACGGCGCACTGGGCTCAAATCTTCGCACTGACGCGCACTGTCAATTGTGGGCAAGAGGGCCCCAGCAGCACAGTACCCCTGGCAAGTTTCATGAGAGGGACTGCAACACACCAGCAACATGCCCAACTGGCTGTGGCTAATAGACTCTGATTGCCCAACTGACCAACCAGAGTGTTCGTTTCCACGGGCCAAGGATTCGATTCGCATGGCCCAACAAAGCGAACAACACGACTGGGCGGCTCCAACGGCCCCATCGTTGACCCAAAAAACTCCCCGGGGCCCGGCTCTCCTGGCCCAGCTCTCGTTTGGTTGGGTTGAGCCATGAGCGCGAGCTCGCCGAGCTACAGCATGGGGGTACCCAGCTCGCCCACCTCACCGCTGGTGCAGGCGCTGGCTCCGACCTGAGGGACTGCTCGTCGACTTGGATGGACTGTAACTTTTGCCAACTAGTGGGTTTTCCTTTAAACCACTAAAAGTTAATTTGGCAGGGGAGCAGAAAGCAACCGATATTTCAGGGACTGCTTAAAGGGGCCATCGGGGACTGGCTAAGTAGAAAAGAACGCCTGGTGAAAAAGAAAAAAAACACTGAACGGAGACTTAAAACCATGGCTTTTGTGGATGTAAGTGCATAACCATGGTTATTATCCACATACGAAGTACCCTGCCCCTTCAATCGGCGGTGCTCTCCGAGAACTCTTGCATTTGCTTTTCCTCCGGACTCGTGCTCAAAGAAAGCCATGCGGAGCCACAAAAAGATAGTAAGAACAAGAATGCTCGTCGCAGTGGGGAAACTTATGTATCAAAACGAGCGGTCTTTGAACGGTACCATTGACATGTCGCGCATGTCCAACAAACATTTTGGGTGAGTCTTTTTTAGGGGGACCCCCAAAATGGTGATTATTGCTTTGGGTTGCCCTTTAAAAGCCACGAGAAAAGGGGGTACCCTCAAAAAAGTCACACCCACGTTGCTCAACCGCAACTTGCTTTAGCGGGAGAGGCCTTCCCGAAGCATACGGAGTGAGAGAAGAAAAGGGGCTCGGCAGAAACATGACGCGATGGCGAAGACGGAGCCTCGGTTTCAGAAACGACTGTGGAAGCCATGGGAAATCGCGGTATAGGGACGGAATAATTGCTGATGTAATTATGCTTGACGAAATAATCAGGCAGAGTTCATGGACTTCAGGGCTTGTCCTGTATCCTGCATAAGGGGGAAAGCGAGGAAAACAAGCCACCAGGCTAATGGGCAGGCAGTTGACTGTGTTTAAGTTGCGGCAAAACAACTGTAAGGAATCAGATGTGCATGCATGCATAGTAGGAAGAGTTGCCGCTACCTCCATTGTGCACCGTGTGTTTACATGTGCACAGATGTGCATTTTGGGGCTCTCACGAAGAAATCCATTGCTTTTGGAGGCATTGCTGCTTCTCCTTCCTTTGCTCTAGGCTTTGCCATGTTTCTGTCACATCAAAGAGGGGTTTTGTCACAGTCGGAGACATTGCAAGCTTTGCCCCCCGAGGCGTTGCTGAAGTACGCTACTTACACCACGCACGACAGTCTCCCCTGCCCAGGAAAAGCACGATCGATCAAAAGGGGAATAGTCAACCACTGAGCCACAATCAAAACCCGGGTAGATGAAGGTTAGCAAGGGGGCAGTCCCAGCCAGACATAGTTGCGGCCACCTTCTTAATTCTTTACATGGTTCTGGGTAGACCATTTTAGTACCGGGTTTTGATTGTGACTGAATGTTTTCTCCGGGCCAACCCGTCGCAGAACCCGGGCCTTGCGGACGAGCTACGCCCATGGCTGGCTTTGTTGGGCCTGGAAGACCGATTGCGGGAGGTGACGATTTGGTGTGCCTTGCCAGCATGCGCTCTACTCCAAATACCCGGTTTGGGTGTTTCAGGTTCTTTTTAGAGGGCTGGCATGATACCAACTAGAACGAAAATGGGTATTGGGTGTGGGTCTGTTTCGAGTTCTGGGACTTGGACTTGAGTTACTTTTGTGGGTTTTGCCATTTTGGTTGGCCAAGCCACTCGATCGGAAGTGTGCTCTTCGCTCCAAGGAATCCGCTCTGCCCGAAACGGTGCCTGATTTTCTTTCGAGTCCCCTCCCGGTGGAAACATATTTCAGGTTACTTCTAGTTGGTGGTTTGGATTGGCCCTGGCTTTGGTGGGTGGGTAGATGGGAAACCCGTCCTTTGCCACTAAGCCACCAATCCAAACCACCAATTAGAAGGAAGCTGAGTATTGAAGGGGGGGCCAATGTTGGAACACCTTGGGTTGAAGAGGGCTCCTTGAGATTGGCTTTCATGGATCAAGGCTTGACCTTGGGAACCCATCCGCTAGATTTATTTGAGGCATTCGAAGATAGACCCGCTAGCGGCCAGGTACCTGATTAAACATCTCCAAGGCAAAATAAAGGCACCTTTTTTTCTGCCCCTTGTCCGGAAATGTCTCACTGCACGCTTTGGAAGTGTCATACCTAGGTGGTGTGTCTTGTTTTGGAGGACCCCCAGAATGGTGTTGTTTCCTTTTGGCTTCCCATGTTCACCAGAAAAGACTGGTACCCCCCAGAAGCCAAACCGAGATGTTGCGGCTCTTATGTCTCAGGACTTGATATGCAAGTCAGCCCAGTGCCCCAACAGTCAAGTGTACTGTCCAGCGAAGCGTTTTGTTGGTAAATCATATTTACCATGGTTGTAAAGGGAAACCAAATGGAATCCTACCTGGAGAGATCCCTCATTTTGATGAGAATCTAAGAAACCACAAAAAAGATAAAGCACCCAGCAACTGCCTTTTTCCCATGTCCAAAATCCCCCTTGGTACGGTAACCCCAAAATGGACAATACCAAGGGGAGTTGGAAATGGGAACAAGCAGCGGTGGGGGCGGCAGGATCTTACATTTTCCAGATCGAAGCTGGTGACAAACTGAGTGTTGGATCGCCTAATTGGTAAACGGCCATCTTCAGTTCCTTACAAAGGCCTTTGGACTTACAGCAAGTAAGATCAGTAAGATCGGCAAGAGACACGCCCAATTTAGCAACTAACGCCCTTTCTGCGGGAGCAGCTTCGGGTTGCAAATGTTGTCTGTCGAGGACTCTTGGCTCGCGTCAAAGGTTGACATGGTACCCTAACAAGCATCGGGGTATTTGGAGGATACGGGGAAAGTCTGACATATATGGGTCTTCCATGGTAGACACCTCCGTTTTTGGTAGGTTGACGGTTGACATGATACCCTAAAAACAAGGAGGTTGCGCGGGGAAGTCCAACAAGCAGTGGGGGCTGCTGGATCCATTTCTGGCGGCTCTAATTCAGGCCACGAGCAGGGCGCCGCCTGGCTGGAGGAGCGGCTGCGAAGCGGTTTGGCGCTGGACAACGACGAGAAAAAAGCCGGAGAAACGGGGCGCCACACGGCGAAACATGTGTGAAAAAGGCGTTGGTTGCATGAGCCTTTGTTCACAAGCTATCAAGCAGTTTTGTTTGGTTTCTCAAGTTTGCAGCATGTTTGAAGAACTATGCCGAAGGGGCATGAGGGGCTCATTGTCCCCGGAATGGATGCTGGAGAGATTAGTGTTGAGTGGACCTATCACATTTGCTTTCAGAAGGAACTGACCCTGTGGCTCTCAGCACTCTGAGTTTTGGCCCCTCAATGCAAACGTCGCACAGCAAGCCAAAGTCTTCGAACAGTGAGGCTCGACATACTGGCACAGCCTGCCATATTCGAAGAGCCGCAGGCTGTACACGGCCAAATATTCTGTGGCCAAACTTGATCTCAGAGTTTGGAAACATGTCAGAGTGCCCTGTACCCGAGGTGAACACCCCCCTAGTAATGCTTGTGTTTTGCAGCTGCACGTATGCCAGTTGTAGGCCAGACGGATTTTTGGCAGCTCCTGGAGTTTGCATGGCAGTGGAATAGAAAGCCAAAGCCCGAACACCACGAAGAAGAACTGCTGCTCAAATCTCAACGGTGTCCTCTTATTGTTCTTTCTATGTTCAGCCATTTCCCCAGGCAAACATACTATTATCAGCCAACCCCCCCCCCCCAGAAAACAAGTGAAGAAAAAGAACATGGACATGGAGCATCTATTCACACTTTTATCAGCCATGCCACCCAAACACAAAAACTTGAAACAACTCGGTTTTGGAACATCTATTCACACTATTATCAGCCATCCCCCCAAAACAAGAAAAACATCTTGAACAACTCGGTTTTGGAACATCTATTATCATCTATTTACACTAATATCAAATCCCCCCAACAAAAAAACACATCTTGAACAACTCGGTTTGGGATAATGTATTTCCACTAATCTCAGATCCCCCCCAAAAAAAAAATATCAACCACCCCAAGAGCCCTTGTTGTCTTTTTTCCTCGTTTTTTTCTTCCCGCGCTTGACCTGGCATCACTTGGCTAGGAGCTGGTGCTGGAGGCGGAGGCGCTGGCGGAGTACTTGGAGCTTTCGGAGCTGCAGGCGGAGAATTTGCGGAGCCGCGGCCAGGCGCGATCCGAGCGACGCGCCGAGTCGAAGCGCCGAGCGCGAAGCGCCGAGGCGGCGATGCGAAGAACTGCCATGGGTCCCCTGGAAAACCATAGGAAACCATCGTTCATTGCTATTGGTCCAAGGGAATCATCGTTGAAACCAGTTGGTTTCTGATTCCGGTGCGATTTCTGGGCTTCGCGAGAGCATCCACAGCACTTGTTGGCTAGGTCCGCCCAGCTAGGTGCCAACTTTCTCACCGTTTCTTTTTTGGTTGGGAGGGTTCGGTTCGGCTACACAAAAAACAACTCAAGAAAGGTGGTACCAACTTATTCTACCCTTTCTACTGGAGGACCTAGCTTCTGTCTATGAGCGAAAGCCATGAGGGCCCTTCGCTTGGGAATCGGACATGTTGTATAATTTGTAGAAGCATAGCAGAAGTTGTTTTTTTGTGGGTTTTGGACATGTAACGTTTGCAGAATCATAGCCTCAGTTCTTGAAAGCCATCTTCTAGCCGAGCCGCGGCTTACTTATACAGGCAATTGTTAGAGCTGCTTGTAGAGGCAACTGTTAGAGCAGCGGAACTGGGATGTTCATCTCCGGCAGCACCTTGCGTTGAGCAAATACATGGATGAAGAGTTTCTGGAGGGCCAATCAATACTTCCGGATAGACATAGTGCATCACTGCGTCCTTTTCAATTGAGCTCCATTTCAATTCAACAAAGAAAGTGCTCGTCGCAGAAGTGGTTACTAGACCTCAAAAAGGGTATGATCATTTACCTGCTTGTGCATGCAAAACAGGTAGAGTTCAGCGCCGTGATCTGGGCGTCGTAACCTCATTCTCGCCATTGAACGCCGCTTGAGAAAGCTAGTCGAACAAATGCGTTAGCGGATTTGCTGAGGATACCAGTGCGTAGCGCTTTGGGCTGCCAGCGTTTCTACGCGGCCCCTTATCACTATGACAGTCTTGTAATTGATTTCCCTTCCCATCGGACATATCTGTGAGACGCAGCGACGTGGGATGGACGCTGGCTTGTGGAGACTATGCTCATACTACCATACCTACCCAAAGGCGTTGCAGGTTCAGCGCGCTGCAAGTGAATACCCCCCCCTAACCACGTGGGTCAGGCCGCCATGTGCGCGGTGAAGATGTCGCGCGGCCAGGGGCCTCGGCAGCCCCAGCAGACTCGATCCAGCGGTGAGATCGCGGATTTCCGGTTGGGTGTTAGGCTGTTGAACTGCTGGGCTGTTGGCCCGTTGGGCTGTTGGCCCGTTGGGCTGTTAGGCTGTTGGGTTGCTGGGCTGTTGGCTGGGCTTGGGCTGTTGGGTTGTTGCTGTTGGCAGTATAACCTTGAGCTACAGGTCTCAGTAGCATTGGATCAGCCCTTGTCATCATCTTCACTCGCATTGAGCAAGCTTGTTTTTTTTTCAAGATTTGAAGCTCGCTCTTGAAGCCCTGAATAGGAACGTGCAAAATTAGGCGGAAATCCAGTGACCCCTCACCTGCCTTTGAGAAGCTGTCACCCACCGTACATGGAATTGGTGAGCCATCAAGATGCCAACGCGAATGCACAATCCGCTTTCCATATTCAGACTCCATTGCTGGCTTGCATCTTCCCGACGTTTTTGTTCTTTAGATGAGACGTCCGTATTCCCCAGCTCAGACGAGTTTCGCATGGGGAGAATCTGGCGCAGCGGCGGATCGGAATCCTCAGGAACTTCGTGCACCGTGCCAACTGAGCCTGCGATGGAAGGCAGGGACTCTGGAATCCTCGGCTTTGTGCTTCTTTTTGGGTGCCAGCGCTGGAACCGTTGCTTTTTCATATTCCTACATTGTGGATACGTGTGGTTACTCTTGGCCATGGCTCTGACTCTTGACGTTTGATGAGTGTTCTGCCTCGGGTTGTGTGCAAACTATGTTTGTGCTGGGTGTAGTTTCGGCGACTGATGTAGGGCTGCTCATCGCCGCATCGCTTAGTCCGGCCAGATTGGGCAAATATAATTATAATACTTGAATTGGAAAAGGTCCTTTACATGGGATGACCATTGGGGGGGAAACCACTAAAATGACAGTATTTCCCACATGCAAAAGTTGCCCATGGTCATTTGAGGGCCGAAGGGAATATTGATCAACCCCCATTGAAGATGAGAGCTTGAGACAAGCTGTTGGTCTTCACGGCAGCTGTGTGCCGCTAAATGACCGCACTTTGGGTTGGGTAGCTTCCTGATTTTAGGCAACTTGTGAGATTTTGCGAAAGGCAAGCGCAAATTGCAGATGAGAGTTGTACAGTGCATGTGCCACTCAAGGGTGTTTGTTCACCAAGAGGCACTGCCAGTGCAACTGCGGTTTGGTATTGAGCAACGTGTGTTGCCTGAAGCTTGCACGAGGCGCGATTCCATCAAGTTTCGCGCATGCCATGCGCAGGGCAGAACCACTTACATCAGAACAAGCGAAGCAGGTATCCAGGATACTTGCCTGCCGCCTTGCAGGAGGTGTCATGCTGTCACTGTTGTTGATTAGTCTTGGGCCACGATGTACGACTAATGATACATGTTCTGGGACAGCCAGTGATAGTTTAGGGGGTACATTCGGGTCACACCTGATACAAAATATAGATGTAAGATGAGAAGTCTCAGGTTGAGTCAGCTTTGCTCGCAGCACGCATATGCATGCATACTCGCGCTGTGAACATGTTCAAGCAGCTCGCCGTGTTTGGCGGCTGGCAGACCCGTGATTTTGCCCTCAATATCCCTCAATCAAGCCAAGGCGAAAACAATCGAGGCCAACCTGGGCAGGGCCCGTTACGACTATTCTTACAAGAGGCTCGGATGTCATCGGGAAGGCTTTCCCTTGGCATTGGAGTCCAAGGCTTGCAAACTGGGGGCCGCCTTTGTTTGAGGGGACCATTTTGGGGGGGTTGGTTTAGAATCGTATAAAAGGACAACCACCATGTTTAGGGGTTCGCCACCAGACCCAGAGATACCCCAAGAAAATCCCTTTGCGGTCTTTTGAAGTCTTGGTTTTAAGACACACCCAAATCAATTGTGACAGGCAGTTGACACCTGTGTTAGCTGCGCATGTCAGGCATTGACTCGCTGGTTTCCCTGCGCACTATGTCGACGGGAGGCAATGGGAAGTGGGAGTTGCGTAAGGACAATGGGGGGAAGGGTCATCCCTTTGAGGTATGTGTGGGGTTGCCTTCCTTCCATGCTATTTTTCAATGCTGGTTTTAAAGGGAATCTATCGCTACTGGATGTTCTCATTTGTCCAGGGGCGAAAAACAACATATGAAGGCTTCCCATCCCGCAAAGACCCATGGGACGAGTTCTCTTCTCTTCAGGTTGAAGGTGCCATTGATTTTCTCAAGGCTGTGATGAGAGCTCCAAGAAGAACATACTGTGGATGGTTGCGAAATCCATTTCGCACCACCTAAGAAACCCTGGTTTCTGATGATTCCCCTGTAAATACCAACCGGCACTGGTTTCGTATGGTTTCCAAGTGATGCAGGATGCGGATTTCGCAACCATCCACATGTTTTCCAAGGGCTCCTGGGAATACACTACGGAGGGTAGATCGGCGTTGCGAAACCTCCCGACCTGAGCTTCTAAAACTCCGTGAAACTGAGGTGATGCATACAACATGCACTGACCACAGCTGCGGCGGTGTTGAGTGTCCCACACTCGAAAAAGGCATGCGCCTGGAGCGCAATGCTTGATCACTCTTGCCATTTAGGGAGTTGATCAAAAGGTCCTGTACATGGTATGACCATTCTGGAAAACCACCAAACAGACGATATTTCCCAACAAACAGGACAAGTTGCTCATGGTCATTTGGGGGCCAGGAATATTGATCAACCCCAATTCTGCTATTGCTAGACAAGATGATATAGCTTTCAACCACTTGCGACCAAAGAAATGACCGGCGCTCTTTGGTGACGACATGAGCTTTCGTGCTAAATGCAAAGGAGCCAAAATGCTCTCGCTGACTTCACTCCCAAAAAGCTACGCCTGACGGAAAATTGATCTCACGGCGCGTTCTGGGTCTCGGTGAGCTGCTCCATTAGCGGAGGTCAAAGTACCTCAAGGGCGGCGGCCAGATCGTCGGGTAATGTTTTTACCCCGGAGGAAGAAACCTGTCCCATTGTTCGGGGCGGGTGGAAACCCCTCCAAAAGTGGTCTGAATCCAACCACGAAAAGGGGACACTCCCCTATTAATCAACCAGGGGCTTGCCGACTGGTGTCCACAGATCGCGGGCAAGTCTGCGCAAATTGTCCGACCTGGACATGGGGGTTGATCAACAGGTCCTTGACATGGTATGACCATTAGATGGAATACGTCAACCACATGGGAGAACTTGCCATTGTCGAATTGGGGGGCCCTAAATAAAGCATTGATCAACCCCCAGATATGTCATAGAATTGGCACCCCTCTTCTGAAGAGTTCAATCAAAGACTTTTCCGAGGCAAAAGTTGATTCTCGCCAGGCGCCAAAGGTGCGCTCGAGCCCAAGACGACCTGTGAGCCGGATGCGGCCATCAGCTTCTTGGCAGGTCTCACGGAATGTGCCGCGTGCGTCGGTCTATTGCCACGCATGAGACGGAGAATGCTGGAGGAGTCGTTGCAGAAACTGGGCTTGTAGCAGGGTAGGTGGGCATTCACCTCCAGAGCAACTGCCAACTGTCAACTTGATCGATCTGTTTTGTGTGGCTTTCCTTCCTCATTCATCGCAAGGACTGTTCGCAAATGCCAACTGGGATGGCTCAGAGATGGCTTGCTTTAGCGTGAAATCTAGTCCCCACATATGATGAAGCCATGAAATCACAGTAAACTCGCAGACCATCATCCCAAAGTCGGAAGAGCGCGGCACCCTACGCATAGTAAGGATTGTGAAATGAATGGAACACATATCATGGGAACTCAACAGCAGCGCTAGACTCTATCCTCTGCGAGCATTTGGGGTGCTCATCAAACTCTTGTAAGATCTGAAACTGAGTATCTAACTTGTTGTTGTCAGATGGTCCAAAAGCAAATGATGGAGGGGGGTGGTCAGCTACGAAGTACCCAATCCGATGCTCGTCAAACAGTCTCAAAAGACGAAAGAGTTTTCAGCGTATTTCAGCGTAAGGGGCAAGTCATGGACTAAGCTGCAATCAATACCTTTTTGGATTGCTGCAAAATCTTGGACTGACCTGCACTGCAAAAAATCACTGGCAACAAAGCCAACACCCTCGCAGTTTTTCTTAAGCTGCTGATGTGAAGTTCAATCTGAACAATGGGCGGGGCATGTGCCACTCTTCCGGAACGTGCAAGGTGGAAAGATATTGGCAGGTTTGACGATCGTACCGACTTAAGCCCGAATTAAGGCCTAAATAAGGCCTTATTCGGGGCTTAATGGCTGATTTTCACTCGCCTCTTCCGAGGCAAGCGGTCCATCACCAGCATTTGCCCAGCTCTCACCATCGAGGCGCGGAGAGCGCAGTTTGTCTGATCAACTCCCAGGAAGAAGGATGACAGATCCTGCCAGAATTGCTGGAAGGGCCTTCGGAGGGGAACTCCCAAGGTTGAGAAGTTGAGGAGTTGACACTCAAAAGATGAGCTTGCAAAAGAAGTGCAACCATTCTGGCCCGGTATTTCCTGTATGGTTTCCCCATGTTGTCATGCCTTGTTTTGCCATGGGAATGCTGTGCGTGTGTGTGTGTGTGCGGAGTGTTCGAGCGAGAGAGAGAGAGAGAGAGAGAGAGAGAGAGAGAGTGAGAGTGTGGCAAGAGTAGATTTAGACACCAAAACGAAGCGGGGCGTGAATTTGCAAGCACAAGTATGTCAAACACGCAACAGGAACCTGCAAGCACCGCGTGCCGTACGTCCGCCTTTTAACGCAAGTCATTTTTGGTAGATAGTAGTGATCAACCTCAGTCCCAAGAGGCCGGTGCTTTGTGCCAAGATGTTAGTTTGGGCGCCAGGCCGCGTGCAATTTCGACCTCGGCCGCAGCCAGACAGCATGGAGCCTAGCAAACTGATCAACCGAGGCTGCCCTCCAGTGACGCAATTGAGATATGTTTCGTGGGGGGCATATTCTGTTGGCGTTCCAAGTCTGTGTTGTTTTGCTTGGTGTATATTCAGTTTGCTTTTCGGTGAGCCGCTACGTTACCTCATGTCAGCAATCACCCTGCAGTAGGTGAAGGCTGTATACCGAATGTGGCGCACAGGCCGGAGAGGTTAGCTAGAAGGCTGTCGCGTTGATGTAAAAAAAAGCTAAGAAGGGGCAAGCACCCATTCTTGCCCACGCAAGCACCACTTGCCCACGCATCGTCCTTTGGTACGCGACAGCTTTCTCGCCCGTGGTGTCGTCTGGCTCAGGCCTTCCCGCATTGCGCGTGGCTCAGCGACAGCTGAGCGAAAGGTTTCTGGAACTCGAAGTCGCAACTGGTTGATGGCCGCCGGTGGTCGTTTTGGTGTCCCTATTTTTAACCAAGCAAGGGGTACCCCCAAGCAAAAGAAGCAAACTCCCACGTAGATCCATGGCATCCGCCGGGAGGTTTGCCGTTGCCCAGGCCAGAAGGATCAGCTCTTTGGAGATGGCATTGCCCGAACGGCCACGGTCCAGGCGCTCTGAGAAGTGGGTATGGCTCAAAATGAAAGAGCTAGGGTTACGCAGGTTTTAGGCCTTGGTTCCATTTGCCCAGGTGCCATTTTGGTACCACTTTTTTGAGCCAGAGCCAAGTTGGACGTTGGGCGAAATTTGTGCCCCGTTCGCCTCCTTGCCCCCGTTTGAGACAACGTCCAAGCAGCCATCATGAAAAAATGGCCTCGAGATCAATGGGAGACATTGCCCATGTCAATTGTGTGCCATGGTCATTTCGACCGGCCCCTTTTCTTGGGGGTGACGGTCATCCACCTGGTAGAGATCCTTCATAACCATTACTACCATTACAGTGATTCCTGTTAAGGCCACAACCCAATCGGCCATAGAATGCTGGGCTGTTCAAAGGTAATCCTTAATTCTTACCGGGTTACGCAAGGGGTCCCCTTTGTAGTGGCTTTCCTATAGGGATCATGGATTAGGATTGGGCAACCCTCCATTTTGAACCGTCCAGGAATGAGTTTTGATCATGGCTCATGTGTCCACTGCGCATGAGCTGGTGTCGGCTGACAAAGCTTGCGAAAAAAGCGTTCAGTGAGCATGTGCACCCAGCGCTTGCGCCAGAAGGACCTCAGAAAGAGCAACGAGTTTGATAATTTGACTCACTGTCTTCTTCTTTTTTCGGGGACCCCCTTTTTGGTTGATTTTCAAGGGAAAATACTTTTTTTGAAGGTCCCCTAATTTTGAGGCGCCCCCATGAACTACCTTGAAAGATGTGCAACTGTCCCTGGCACAGGTGGAAGGTATGTTGTGCGGCGTCTTCTCCAACTTGCAGGTCAAGGAAGCTGGGCTTGGGCCTGAATGCTCAAATGAGCCACAAGGTTAGTAAGGGACAATCCCAGCCAAAAACTGCAGCGACGCCTTTGTATTATTCTTTACATGGTTCTGGGTCGACCGTTTTGTACCGGGTTTTCATTGTGACTCAAATCAGCTTTCTGAGATTTGCAGTGTTTCTTGCAGCTGGTCCCTTTGTCAACAGCTGAATCCTGGAGGCTTCACGTTTGATTGTTCTCCGCACGTACCCTCCCACCAATTCACACGGAGCCTGACGTTTGGGGGGTCTTCTCGGTTTGGACCATTTTCCAAACAAAGGGAACTCCATGTCAATTGGTGGGAGGGTGGCTGCTTTTGTTTGCCGAGACTGGAGGGGTACTTGTGGTACTTAGTGGTTGGACGCACTAAATCGCACGGGCAGCTCAGCCTGGCCCGCAAGTAATTCGGATACATGTGGGGGTTGATCAATATTCATGACCCCCAGAATGACCAAGGGTAACATGTGCCAAGTGGTTGAAATATTCATTGTGTGAGTGGTTTTCCTACCATAGGTCATCTCATGTAAAGGACCTTTTGATCAACCCCCATGTCTCACTTCCATTTGCTGAAGAATTTGTTTTATTCTCCTTTGTCGGTTTTAAAGGGAATCGCTGTCACTACTGGATGTTTTATTTTGTTTCCAGGGGGCGAAAAGAAAATGGAAGGGTTAAATAAGTACCTGCACCCTCAAACCACCCATGAAAAATGGAAAGTCAATAAGTACCTGGACCCTCAAACTGCCCAATTAAAAACAAAGTCAGCCACCGTAAATTGGGTTCTTAGATCGCTTCTCTGCGTCTGGCAGGACAGCGCCCTTTTCGTCCGAGAAGTTCAGCGCAAAGATGCGCATACTTCGAATGCGAAGGCTACGGAAGAGGAGGCCTGAGAGATGGCGACGTTTGGCCGGTTACCCCCCGTTCCTCCCCCCCTGTTGTTTTGTGTTTTCGTTTTTCTTTTCTTTTTTTAAAGAAAGTTGGGACCAGCCCTCAAATCCCCCGTGTTGGTGTAAAATACGTGGTTTTGTCGCCGTATTAGTTAGTGTTTGTGTTTATTATTATTATTACCATCATCATCATCATCAGTAGTAGTAGTAGTAGTAGTAATAGTAATAGTAGTAGTAGTAGTAGTAGTAGTAGTAGTAGTAGTAGTAGTAGTAGTAGTAGTAGTAGTACCGTTATGAATTGTCATGTTTTCAGGGATCCAGTTGCTTCCTTTGCGGACCTTTGTGCCCAGATAGGCTCCCCCAGAACTGGGGACCATTTTTGTTAGCCACTGCGTGCGGTCAGCAGAAGGAATACCAAGCTTAGTTAGGTATAGACTTGGCCCATTCTAAATGTAGTATTGGTGACTTTGGATTGTGTATATTATTAGGGGGACCTTCATTATTAGGTGGAACGAGTATAGGGAAGCAAAGAGTAGGCACGGCACGTTGATTGCCATGTGCTGCCCTGAAATGCAGGATTTGTTTTATGTTTCTCGAGTTTGTGCACGTTTGGGTTTTTGCATGCGGTACGGGCCAGGTGCCATACAACGACTGACGCATGTTCAGTGACTGCATGGGATGCTTTCACACCAATGCAGAGCTCCTTAAAAGATACATTTTGCCCATTTGAAACATGTTTTTTTTCACCAAAATACAGGAACAACACAAATTCCCCCCGCGGTGTATCATGTAAGGATCCCTGCAACGCATGGGTTGCAAACCGCACCGCACGTCACATGTCTCGGTTTGGCACAGGAGAAGAACGACCCAGGCACGCAAACGTGGCCGCAGGCCAACACCTCAGACTCAGTTCTTAGCCACCCTCCCACCAATTGACATGGAGTTCCCTTTGTTTGGAAATGGTCCAAACCGAGAAGACCCCCCAAACGTCAGGTTCCATATGAATTGGGAGGGTTTTTTTTGCGGAGAATCAACCATGAAGCCTCCAGGATTCAGCTGACAAAGGGACCTGCAAGAAAAACGCAGAAAAATCACAGAAAGCTGATTTGAGTCACAATGAAAACCCGGTATTGAAATGGTCGTACTCCCAGAATCATGCTTCAAGAATTAAGAAAGCGGATATCCGCAACGATTTCTGGCGACTGCCCCTTGACCTTCATCTACCCGGGTTTTGAGCAAGTGGCTCACCTTCCGCTTTGAGCAATGGCCGTGGTCTGGCACCAGACCGAAGGACCGCGGTCGTGCCACATGCAGGCATGTCTTGTAGTTTGGGTGTTTCTCAAAATTGGGGACCCGTCCAGGGAGGTGGTTTCCTTTTGGTTTCCCGTTAAAACTGTCCAAGAAGGGGTGCCCTACTGTGGATGAACAAAATCCATTTCGCACCACCTGAAAAATATGAGAAACCAGTGTTTGTTGGTATGTACAGGGGAATCATCAGAAACCAGGGTTTCTTAGGTGGTGCGAAATGGATTTCGTCCATCCACAGTAGTTTGAAGAAACCCCCCCCTTGTGCGCTTGCGAAGTGTTTCCCTGGCACTGGCCATCTGAGGGGAGCCCGAAGCGACTGTTTCACACCGACACGCTTGGCAACGTCAATGCCTGGCGCCCGATGTTTGATGCAGTCGGCAGTCCCCCTCAAAAAAGAATCCTTCACTTCCAGGGGGTCGATCATCTTTCCAAGGTGGCAAACAGACCCCCCCTGTGTCACGGGGACACTTTGCAGAGAGGATGTGAGAGGCTGCAAATCAAGAACTGTGAATTGCCTGCGCTGAGCTCTGGACAGCTTATATGTATGTGTGGTTTCCCAGCGGCCATATTTCTGGATTTCGCGTGACCATTTGTGGATGGACGAAATGCATTTGGCACCACCTAAAAAAAACGTTTCTGCTGATTTCCTTGTTAAAAGCCAAGAAACAACGGTTTCAACCATGGTTTCCGTTTGGTGGCGAAGTGGAATATCCCGCGATATGTCCTGAGGGCTTTAGCAAGCGCGACAAGCTGGTGGAAGAGATCCTGGAGGAGGGCGCGAGTCGGCGCGGTTGCAGCCTGAAAGATTCGATCGAATCGGATGGAGGGAGAGAAGAGAGAGAGAGAGAGAGAGAGAGAGAGGACAAAAAAAAAAAAACAGCGAAAGAGGGAGAAAGGGAGGGAGACAGGTTTGCCGTAAGTTTTGCGAAACTTGTGTTTTCAATGCTTAAGGTGAGGGTTTTGATGGGTCGTTGTCTGGCTCCAAGGACCTTTACCTTCAAGCGTGCAGTGACTGAATCAACTGTTGGGTTGAATGTCCATTTGAAATGAGCATCCCTCGTGAGTGTGATGCATTCTCAGGTTGGGATGACAGCATGAATGAGCTACTTGTGCTTGCGCTTGTGAGTGATTATTCAGATAGCTTCTCCCACTTATCCTTTCCTGTGTTGTATCAACTATTGATAGATCCACCGTTGGCTGATTGCGGCCATCAAGTCAGTAGCCGTTTGGGTGTTTTTAGTTGTATTTTACCCCCAAAATGGCTGGTGTTCCTGTTGGTGGTCCTTTAAACCACCAAAAGAGGGGCTACCAACTTCAAGGGACGAGCGACTCATTTGGAGAGACTCTCTCGCAGGGTGGCGTGCACACATCGCCCTTGGACCATGGGCAGACCGGCACGGTCTATGCTCTGGAGGAGCGCTCGCTGTGTGTTGGAAAAGGAGCAAAACGTCAAGCAACCGACTTGCGTTTTTTTGGGGAAGCTCGGATTTGTTTGCAGAAGAATGTGGACAGGTCAACTCTGCTTCATGTTTGTTAGCTTGAGCCCTTCCTCTCGCCTCGTTTGAAGTCCCAGAAGCCCGACCCAAGCCGTGTAAGCGCGTCAAACAGCGCCCGACCTCAGCCCAAAGCTCAGCTTTTGACCGTTTAGGTCCCCCGTTTTGGTCCATTCTTAGTAAAGGCCCGAAAGCCTTAACCTTATATTTCCAGGCCTTTCTGGGAAACGACCAATCCATCATTCGATCCTGTTTGGCATCAGAGCCGGGTGCACGTTGTTGTTTTGTTTTTCCCCGCGAGGCGGGGGATCACAAAATCGCCATCTTCAAGCCTGCCGGGCATCCGAGTGCGGTTTCAGCGATGGGAGGTTGGCAGACGATCATGGACTTCCTGAGTTCCTGGACTTGAATTGTGTTTTTGGGAAGACCATGTTAAACTGTTAGTGGCGACCGAAAGGTGTGGTATGACATTTTGGTGCCAATCTGCCAATCCACTCGATCGGTCGATGCCCTTGTCTGAGCAACGGTATGCTGCGGTAGACGTTTAGCTTTTTCTCATGGCCAACGGTTGACCTGGTGCATCTTATGTGCTTCTCCCCCTCCCCAGCGCTGTTTTCACACACGTATTTGTTCAGCTCCCCGATTATTTTCGTTGCATCCGAGTTCTTGCGATCGGTTCAATGGGGCCCTGAGACATGGGACGACCAGGGGTTTGACTGTAGCCCCAGCATCCAATTGCCTGACCGGCTCGCCAGGTAGATGGGGAAAAGTTCGAACGCAGGAGCTTGGACAAGGGCAAAGGCGCGGTGTCGTTTCGAGTTTCGAGGTGCCCCGACCATTTCGAGCTGCTTTCTGTCCATGAAGCTCCATTCAGTGAATGGCATGGCACCGCATATTGACCTGAGTGTTTTTTTTTGTTTTTTGTTTTGCGTTTTTTCTAGCGCCCATCGGCCGTTGATGTCATAGTTTCACCGATCGGCACTGTGCAGTTTGCAGCTGATTCTAAGCTTTGCTGAAAAGAGACTGTCAAATGCTGGGTTCCATGTCCATGCGAATCCATGCGAAGCCATTTTCGTCTCGACGGGAATCAGCAGTGCCTTTCCAGTTCTTTGCATTGCCATGGGGTGCCTAAAAGTACTTTGTGTGGCTCTTCTGCACATTGCAATGTCGGCCCCTGTAAATCTTACAGACATCGCATCAAGCTTGGAAAGCTGGATGCGTCAAGGCAGCACATTCGTTGAGGCGGTTTTTCAACTTGGGCCTGACTCATGGGAGAGGTTCTGGACAGGTCGCATGGATCATGGCAGCTTTGCTTGGGAGGAGAAGCAGTGCAGTCCTGCTCCCGACTTGTGCCGACACCGCTGTTCATGCTTTGACATGTTCAACATGGCCCACTTGTGGCTGCAGGAGTCGCGTGTGCCTCCAGAAGAATACCGGCAACTATATCGACGAGCTGCCAAGCTTCATCACAGTGACAGGGGTGGGTCGGATGAATGCATGCGCTTTCTGGTGGACTGTGCGAGGCTTGTTTGTGGAGATGACACCTGCCGGAGTCCGGGCAAACTAACAGGGCTTGCGCAGCAGCGAAAGAAAAAATATATCTCCAGAATGGCAACCATTCGAGGCAAGTGCCGGAAAAGGGGAGTCAAGCAAGGTAGCAACTCGACCATCCAGTGCTATCAAGAGGAAGTTGAGGAGTTGAATCACGAAATCTTCGATGCTGGAGTCAAAAGGCGTGATGATGTGAGAAATCCACGTCCGTCAAATGCATATCAAGGTCATGAGGAAGAATTGCTTGTGTTCCTGGACAGCTCCATGTCAATGAGGGGCACGCGACTTTCCAGGGCCAAGATCATGCTGGAGCATATTTTCCCTAGATTCGAAAGGACTCCAACCTCAGTTCATTTGATCGGGGGCACGCAGAGGTCCATGCAGTCCTCCATTTTCCGAGAACGCGTTGAAAGCAACGGCGGCGAGTATACGCACACATACATCAGAGCTACCCTCATTTGGGATAACTGCAACGATTTGGACTTGCACATCCTGGAGCCTGGGGGCACTGAGATCTACTACAGTCACAAGCAAAGCACTCAGAGTCATGGCTACTTGGACATCGATCAGAATGTTGGAAGGGCTTGTTCGGAAAGGCCAGTGGAAAATATCCGCTGGAAGATTGGTGAATCGTCGCCTATTCCTGGCAGGTATGAAGTGTGGGTCCACTTCTACTCTCATGACAACAGGGCGCCAACGCACACTCCTTTCCAGCTTGAGCTTTCGGTCGGGGCTGAGACGAAGCACTTCAGGTTGTTTGTATCTGAACCCAATCAGCGGAAGCCCGTCCACAGTTTTGAGTATGAAGGACAACAGCTGAGCAAGGAATCCAAGGAGTTATTTTCACCTTCCATGGACTTCACACTTGATGACGTCTTCAACTTCTGGACATGTGAGTCCCGGACAACTTATATGTGGAAATACATACTGGATTCTTTGTTGTCCGCCTCCGCCAGCAAAGCCTTCAGGACGTGGGACGTAATCATTGTAACGGATGGAGAAGACAATGATTCACCGGAACCTTTCAGTGGTCCCTCTGGCTTCAATGCCATGATGAACTCACTGCACGCAAGTGGCATTCGCCCTCGCATTAGTGTATATTGCATCGGCAGTAATCACTGCACCGGCGATGCAAACGGCATGCACTTCTATCGTGATTTGGTTCTTGCCAGTGGAGGTGTCTTCGTGGCAGACCTGGCCGGACCAAATGATTTCAGTCCGATTAACACCTTTGCTGTCCAGGTGACTGGTTCTGTGGAGGAGCGGCAGCTGACTGAGCAAAACTCCAAGCAAGAGTGGTTGCTTTTGAAGCAGAGTGGTGCACCAATGGCCAACAGGAATGAGCCTTATACTCAAGAGTTGGTCCAAAAGCAGCCCGGTGAGATTAGGAGCAGTCATAGCTCCGCTCGGAAGCGAACTGATCCAGACATGAAATGCTCTCAACAGGGTGATATTCAAGTGTGTCATTGAGGAAACATGATCTGCCATGGCACGGCTTGGTAAGCTAGCAGCCTGTATATTTTTTAATGTTGCCACAGTGCAGCTTGGGATGGAGCGTATTTGCAGCAATGACGGTGAGAAGTGACAAAGCCAACAACGGACAAGCTACAGTTGCTATGGTTCGTCTGGTGTGCTTGGCAGAAACTATATGGCTGTGGCTCAAAAAACCGGTACCAAAATGGAACCTTGGTAAGTGGACACATGGACCAAAACCCGCGTAACCCCTCCAGTTTAATTTTGAGCCACGGCCATATACCCTAGGGTTGAACCCCCACTAAAAAAATGATTCACCCAATTTGGATGCCACTCCTGAGGTAGAAATATTGGTACCGTTATACTGTGGATGGTTGCGAAATCCGCTTCTCGCACCACCGGAATCAGAAACCCTGGTTTCTGATGATTCCCCTGTACATACCAACAAACAATGGTTTCAACCATGTTTTTCAGGTGGTGCGAAATGGATTTTGTCCATCCACAGTAGGAACCCCCATGGTTTTAATGGTGGGTTGAAGCCCAGGCTATAGGCTCCACCAGCAATATCGTATTGTTTTATCGCGTGCCAGGTGTGGTCCGAGAAGAGTCAGTGTACCTCGTCGACCGCCTTTGCGGCTCGCAGGCAGCCTGCGCTTTGTGCTCTCACCCGTGCAGGGCAAGCGTCCATTTCGATTCTTTCCAGGGATCCGAATCTTTTGCTCAGTTGCCCAAAGCCGACTTTTTGACCTTTTGGATCCTTTTGGTTTCTCCTTTTTGGTCTAGTTTCAGTCATGGCCCCAAAAGGTTATCCTTTCATTTCTGGGTCCTTTGGGCAAGTGAGTTTCAGGAAACCATCAAAACCCATGAGAAACAGCGATCGGTTCTTGAAGAGAACGATGGTTGAAAAGAATGGAATCGGAATTAGCTGCTAGAACTCCTGATTGGATGCAGCACGGAGTTGTGCTCACTCTTCAGTGTGTTTCCTCGAGTTGAGCCTTCGACTCCAGTATGTGTTGCAGCTCAAAGCAAGTTCACACTAGAAGTACCACTTGGGTATTGCTGACATGTCCAAGAACCCAAGAACCCACCAGCAGCAAAGATTGCCCCCCTGATTTAGTGTTGGCTCCATGATCGGCCCCAGAACTACTTCGGGGGATGTGCCTGTTGGGTTCTGCAAGCTTGACTGGCTTAAACTATTTGACAGCAGAGTGATGAGTCCGACGAGCCAGGCTTTGGTGCTAGACGTGCCTTGTAAGCTGCTTGTACCCCCCCCCCCCACACCGAAGGATTCCGTGCCTCAACGTGTCAACGTGACTCCCGTGTTTGGTGACGTCAAGCAACACCTCGCACGCCATCCATTCCCCGCCATGCCCGGGAACTGGTTACACAGCCATGTTCTTCAAGCAAGACTTGTTCACTATCTGGGTCTGTCAGCTTTTGGGGAACGAACCCTATTTCGGGGCTTTAAAGGGAAACCAACAGGGAAGCCCGAAATCCATGTTGGGGGGTCCCCGAAAGAAAGACGAGCCACCCATCTGTCGAGAGGCTTCAACTATGATCCTCCGTGTTTTCTCTCGCGCTTGCGCCAGGCAGGAGTACCTGTCTCTTCAAGGGCCAAAATCGAGGCCAGGGTGGGCGTGAGTGAGAGAGGCAGGCATTTCTTGCTTCCTGGGAGCCATTCCCGTTGCGTTGGTAGCTTACCAACAAGTCCCATGTCACCATGCGCACCTGGATGCAGCCACTTGTGAGCTGATGTTTGCATCTTGAGTCTCCAGAAAGAACGTACCCAGATGCGTCATGACCAGTCTTTGACTCCCAACCTGCATTGGCACTGGCTCATGAGCTAAGCACTTTGGGCGCAACGGACTGCGGACAGCGGACCTCCGAACAACTTGCGATCGGTGCGATAGGTATTGAATGTTAGATGGAATGAACCCAGGCTGTCCCCAAAAATGGGAAAACCACCAGCTGGATGGAATTTATGAGCCCAGAGGCTCTCGATTCATTTAGGGCCTTCAACAACCTAGTTTTGAGACCCCCAACCACCAATTCCCGGGGTGTCTAATGGAGGGGTCGGGTCTTCCATTGAAAGTCCCAGGAGCCTTTGGGAGGGGTCATTTCTCATTCCCTGCCTATCGCAGCAGCAAGAAAACTTCGCGTCCGGCTTAGGTGGATGGCCATACCCTGGAAGGCCGGGAGATGTTGAGCCCAGGGTCTCTCTTTGTTCTGGGTACCCCCCCCATTTTTGGGGCGGTTTTACAGGGAACACAGGGAAGCGAAAGGACATAATTTTGGTTTGGGGGTCCTAGAAAAGGACACACCCATGTTCTTGCTTGGTTGCTAACTTGTTCGGCTTGTGAACTGAATCGTACTATATAGGGACAGACTGGTTTCGCGAAATCCATTTCGCACCACCGTTCAGAAGCATGGTTTCCTTTGGTGAATCCGATTTCTGGATTTCGTCCACCCAAAGTACTGCATGATGCTTGCTTGCTTCAATCAACTTGTACCTTTGGCCCGGCAGGCTCTGTCCAAGCCTTCATGATGGACGCGCAGAGCTCAGCTTTTGACAGGTGCATGGCAAGGGCAGCCCTGCACGCTGTAGCCCAGGCCAACCTAACTGTAACTTGCTGGTGCGATAGGCCGGGAATGAGAGGATGGACCTGGGGATTCCCTTTCAGGAAACCACAGAGAATGGTTTATAGGGTTCATTTCCCAATTCCCTGCTGAGCACCAGCAAGTTATGAGCCCTGACAAGGGGTTTTTCCAAGAGGAAGCTCTGAGGATCTAGCCTTGCGCCAGATGCCGCAGAAGTGAACACTGGAGATGAACAGAAGGGTCAGTCACTCACTTCCTGAGTTCATGATATAAAGTTTGGACTTTTTGGGGGCCATCCACTCGGCAAGTGAGGAGTCAAGTAAGAGCATACTGTGGATGGTTTCGTGAAATCCATTTCGCAGCACCGGAATCAGAAACCCTGCACCCTCCCATGGTTTCCAAGTGGTGCGAAATGGATTTCTTTCTTTCATACCGCAGCATGCCTGTGGTGCGCGTCAACACGCGGGTGCGTCTGGCTCTTCCAAACCCCTGTATTTCATGGCTGCATTGATACTTAAGGGGGCAGAGTACTGAGCAAGTGGGTAATATCCATAGTTGCAGCCCGCAAACGCCATGGTATAAGTCTCCATTCAGTGGGTTAGTTCACCATGCTTTCGGACTCCGGACTCCTGTGACGCATTACTTGACTGGGGCGATCGATGCAGGGCATGTCAGGAAAGTGGTGAGAAACTGCCTGAGGTGCAGGGCTTCATAGAGGACTACGCCATGCCCAGGGACTTGGACAGGGCCAAGGAGTTTGTGCAGCAGGCGGGTGAGTGGGTCTGCGATTCACACCAGGGAGTCCCAAACTGAGCATCAATGAGCACTGAACCTTAGAGGGGGTCCTTTAAGACCATTTTCCTTTTCAATCGACCCCCTGTCAGGCTCCATGTTACTTGGTGGGAGGCCAGGTGTCTTGTCTTGCCAATGTAAAGCTGCGAGCTGGCATGGCGAATGGAGCCTCGTAGGCTTGTACGGCCGGATCCACAGTTCATGCCTTGGCTGTGTGGTCTCGTCTGTCGGGGCATTCTGGACGGGAATCTGGTGTGGCCGCCTAACCAACGTGTTTGGACTCGGTTTCTGGGGCATGAAGCGGTTGAACCTGAGATGAAGACACATGCCTATAGCTAAGTCAAATGGCTGAAATGCAGCTTGGAGCAGAAAGTATCGCTCATGGGCCACCACGAGCCAGGAAAGACGTGCCTCCCCATGATTTAGAGGCACACCCAGGGTTTCAAAAGGGTCAAGACAAGCATGTGAAGAAAAACAACACACGACAACGGTGATTAGAAGGCTTACAACCAGTCGCTGCCTGGGATTCCTTGCGCTTGGCAAACCTCTTCAGGCACGGACCTTTCTGGCGAGAAAAAATGGTATGTTGCTCAAACCGACTGCCAAATCGGTCAGCAGCCGACATCCACATGGGTATATGAACCGCTGCGGGCCCACCTGATCCTGACACGGGAACTTGTTGAGATGTAGAACATCATACTATGATGTTAACCGATAAGAAGGTCGCATCTGCTGCTAGCAAAGTAATCTTTTCGCAGCAAGCGAAACGTTGTTCTTCAAGCCTCACCTTGGTAGAAGCTGCAAGGCTCATTGTTGAGGTGTGGTGTGTGTGTGTGTGTGTGTGTCACCGCGTGAGACCAAATTCATCGGTGCACAGCTTTCTGCCAGGAAGATGCGGAGTCGCTGGCGCTGCTGGATATGCGGGTCTTCAACATGGTGCCTCAGATCCACAACCCGAAACCACCGAATGCCAAATGCAAAATGCTACTGTGGATGAACGAGATCCATTGTGCAGCACCTGGAAACCATGCCAAACCATGGTTTATTGGTATTTGCAGAAATTGGGCCGTTGAAGGGGTTCCCTTCAAATTGACGAGGAGTGGTTTTTTCCCATGGCCACTGGACGTTTGGACATACTGTGGATGGTTTCGCAAAATCCAGAAATCGCACCACGAAAGGACTCCATGGATCATCATGGGCCATGGGTATTTCCATTGGGGCATCATCAGAAACCTGGGTTTCTTAGGTGGTGCGAAATGAAGCTCGTCCATCCACGAGAAGGGTCATTGGTTGCTGGCATGCTTGGAGCAAACTTGTCTATGTGCGAACTGGCATCTGACTATGATTGGGATTTCTCGTTGACTCCGCCACAGCTTCTGTGGCGTTGTCGTTGTGGGTGGCACATGGTAGCCCATGTCCAGAAAGATCCTAGATGAAGCATTCACCAGATGTATGTGAAGTTGCGCTGATATATGTTCCCTTTGTCATTTCCTTACATCTTTCCTTTGTAAAGTTTGGTCGAACATGCCAGCAACGCGTGACCAATTTGAGAGGGCGGATCACTCATTTGAGGCGTGGGGTACATCATAGTTTCACTCTGGCTACTTGTTGCATACCTGTTTTTTTTAGATAAACATACTAGAGTTCCTGCCCACCCACTACCCCTTGGAACGACGAGTTCCCTGTAAATGTCCAATGAAAGTTATGGTTGCAACCATGGTTTCCTTTTCGTGCGATTTCTGGATTTCGCGAAACCATCCACAGTATTGCACTTGCCGCCCAGCTCTGAGCCAGTGGCACATGAGTCACAATCAAAACCCGGGTAAGTGAAGGTTAGTGAGGGAAAGACCCAGCCAGAATTAGTTGCGGATATCCGCCTTTCTAGTTCTTTGCATGGTTCTGGGTGCACCATTTTAGTACCGGGTTTGGATGATGACTCACATGACGTTTACGACCAGAAAATGTTTGCCGCATGCGGGCTCGGGGATTTTGAGGACAGACACCCTGGCAACCTGCTGCTGCTGAAGGAGGAGAACATGAAACCTGACGGTTCGGGGCCCACGATTTTGCCTTCACGGCTCTTGGATCAAGTGTTTGGGATTTGTGGTTGTTTGGTTCTGTTCATTTTTAGCAGGGGGCTGCAAAAACACAGTTTCTGCTACTATGTGAAGTTGCTTTAAGAGGGACTCTCTGCTGGGTTTCATGTTAGACAGGAGGGTAGTCAGGGCTGCTTGCCCCATTGGCATTTACAACCTGCGTCAGCCTGTGCGGGAAGCCCTCTGGGCATGGCTTAATGGATCCCCGGCAAACGCATGTGAGCTACCGCTAAAACGGTCGGTACAAGGGATATGTGTTGGAGTCTTACCTCTTAAAAACACAACGTTTCAACTTTTTGGGCGTAACATGGGCTATATCTGTAAAAGATTAACTTCCCCAGGGCTTGGAGTTTTAAAGGGGTAAGGAGTGGGATAGGGTCAAGAACCTCAACACAAAGGGATATAGGTAACCCTTCGATCTATGTTCCTTTGGGTTTTCAACCCGGTACCTGTACAGGTAAATGGATCCGCAGGGTTGAAGGTAAGAGCCCATCTCAGTTCTGCGTGCATGTCAGCGAGCTCAGTGTTGGCTGCTTCTGGTGCAGGCAGTAGCATGGCGCTGTCCTTTTCTCGGCACACTGCACGCAACTGGCTCGGGAACATTGTGATAGTGAATACCAATGCATTCCATATGGCTGGTGCAAGATGCTTGACTGCATTGGGATGGATCTTTGGACTTTAACTTTTTGGGAATCAAGGGGTTTTCCACTACACCCCCCAAAAAAAGGCTTTTTGCAGGGGGGTCCTTGCAGCAACCAAGCATGTTGCTGTGGACACAGACCCCGCATGCTTCGACAGACGCTTGCTGAAATCGCGTCAATTGCCGACCTGCAGTTGTCAACGGGCGATGTCGAGCGATCGATCTTCCGCTCATAGCGCGTGTTGCGGATGTGGGTATGGGTCAAAATTAAACCACCAGGGGACCGCAGGTTTGAGTCTTTGTTTCCATTTTACCAGGGTTCCATTTTGGGTACCTATGTTTGACCCACACCCATGTGGCAATTCAAGGTTTTAGCCAAGCTTGTTGATAATTTCGGGTGTTTCAAGCTTGTTAGGCTTGTTTTTGTTGCATCTCAAGCAAGGATACCCATCGGTGGAAGCCTACCCTTCTCATACTTGGCATTTGACTAGACTGTTTCGGATTGATGACCAAGCAAAGCACGGATGTTGTTTTCCAGGACTGTTCCATTCAACATGGCTCCAGCTCAGCCTTCTCTCCACCTGCAGGAGAAGCCGCACGTACTGGGGCCAATCGATCACGGCTGCTGCTTACCGCCTTGGCTGCTGTGAAGCATAGCGGCTGTTTGGCAACGACTCAGCTTAGCCCAAATCAATGCCCACCTAGATTGCCAAGTTGCGATTGCTTTTTACAGTCACTGTTGCTGGTTGTTGGGGTAAAGTTCATGGAACAAAAGCAGCAACTGGCGATCCAGGTAGACGCAACGAGTAGGATGCCCAGTTAAAAAGAGTACTTTGGTGCATTCTGCTTGGATGTTAGCACTTTTTGCCTTTTTGCCAACGTTATTGGGTTTTCCATTAAGCCACTAAAAGTTAAACTTTTAGCAGGGGAGCAGAAAGCAACCGAGAGTAGGTCATGCCCCGCGGCAGCCACTCATGACATCATGTTCAACGTTCTATTGGCAGCTTTTAGGAACAGCTTTTCGATTTCCAGTCAGGCAGGAAACCGCTGACTTGCGGGCCAGTGGATTCGCACCAGGCAGCCAAGCCCAGCCATTCCTGCAGTGTCAAATCAGCAACTACCAAGCCATAAAGCAAACAAACAAAGTAGAAATCGGAACCCACAATTGCATCGGCTTTTCGTTGGCTCTTGGTTTGAAAAGCGCCAAAACAGCAACCCTTGGAGTTGGGTACCAACTCCAAAAAAGTGTGTCCCTTTAAGTCAACCCAAAAGCAAAAAGTGCCCACTCCACAAAAACGACAAAGACATGGATTCTCAAGTCCAGACCTGTTGCCTTCATCAGTTCCTTAGCTGACTTGCGGCGGATACGACTCGGGACGCGGATCGAGCGGGCGCCTCTCGCGCCTGAGGTGGTGCTTGAGCGAGGCCATTTTTGAGGCTTGGATCTCTTGGCCGCAGCTGAAGCCGCCCGGCGTCGAGGGCATGGGCTTTGGTTTGATCGCAGATCTGGGTCAATTAATTGTTTAAGGGCAACCTGTTTGGGCTGGTTTCTAGGAGAGAACCTAGAAAGAAATACGAAATCCTTTCTTTTCCTTTTTTCTTGGGGGCGGGGGGGGGGAGGCGGGGGGGGAGTGGTTTAAAGGGAAAGTGAAAAGAAGACCAGCCATTTTGGGGGTCCACGTCTTAGGAAGAAACAGCCATTTGGCACAGTTCCTGAAGTATGGTGAATGAAAGCCCAAAGCATAGCAACATGTTTGACATGCTTGGTGGGTTGTCAGGCACCTTGGCTGGCAGTTGAAAGCGCTTGATAGTTTGATGTCAATCTCGAAGTCGGTGAAGCGCTCTGGTTTGTAGTTGTGGTTGGTCTACCTGCAAAACGGGCTGAGGCATCTACAGTAATTCGTGGCTTTGGCTTCAGGATGTCTCAAACTTGGGCTCTGATCCCCTTCATCCCTTCACCCCAAACGACAAGCGTTTCTCTACTGCTGTTGGGTTGGATTTTTAGACTTTAACTTGTTGGATTCCCCTCATATTTCCTGTTAACCAGCAGAAAGCTAAGCTTTTTGCAGGGGGATCTACCGCACCCAAGATTTGTGGGCGTCCCAGTGGGAAGCGCTTGACGCGCTGCAGTCTCAGGCAGCTCTTGAGACAGCTTTCTATTCAAAGCTGCGAGGGCAGCACCTTTCCGTGTCTTCCATTTGGTTAAGAATATGTTTTATTTTCCGCTGTTGGTTTTGAAGGGAATCTATCACTACTGGATGTTTTTTACTATTATTATTATTTCCAGGGGACTTAAGTAAATGGAGGATTTGGAACTTGGGGGAGGAGTTGGGTTCTGAACTGCGAGCTTCTCGCGGCCTGCGCGAATGCGATATATGGCTGTGTGTTGTTTGATGGTACCCCTCTTTTCTTGGCGGTTTTAGATTAAAACCAAAAGGAGCGCAGACAATTTGTGGGGGGTCCCAACCTCAAGGCTTTTTTGGCTTCCAAGAGGCCGAGAGGCGTAGGAATTCAACCCGGCGAGAAGGCGATCAAGCAAACTGGTGTATCGAATGGATTTGGGTACGGGTCAAAATGAAACCCGCTTCCATTTACCAGGGTTCCATTTCAGGTACCTATTTTTGGACCAACCACACCCATTTGATCCAGAAGCAAAAACAGGGTTTCCGAACCAGTTCCCTTCTTGGGTTACCTCCAAAAGTGGCGATGAGTGGACACGATGAAATTGATCAACTTTTGATCTGGGGAAATCCAATGACCCCTTTGTTTTGGTTAGGGGCATGGTCGTTTTATTGGAAGTCTACCACTACTGGATTTGCTTTATTTTTGCCATGGGACCTCAGCAAATGGAGAACTTCCACCGTAAAGAAAAACGGGGTGATACCGCAGGCGAAGATCGGGGGTGCTTATATTTCCGCCTGTTTGGTGGTTTCGACCATGACCTTTTTGGCAACAATGGCTCGCTGACTGTCCCTCCTACTCAAAATACCGCTTTTTTCAGGGTATGTTTGAGAGAACCTGGTTTTCCATGGTAAATACCTCCTTTGTTAATAGAGGGTCGACCCTGAAAAAAGCCGGGTATTTGGAGTCGGGGATCCCTTGGTGAAGGTTTTTTCCAGGGGAAAACTCTTCGGGCGCGACGATTTCCTCGGAGTTGGTACTGACGCCGAGGGCTGCCCCCTCCGCCTTCGCAAAGACGCTGGCGCTCACCTCCATGGAGACACTTGGAGTGACCTGTGACCGCGCGTGCCGATGAGTCTGTGAGTCGGTGAGTCGGTGGGTCGGTGGCCGGGTTTCAGAGTGATCCATTGATGAGCCGGTGAGTCGGTGGCCGGGTTGCAGAGTCATCCATTTGAACACCGGGTATGTCTGACACCCCCAAATGAGTCACTTGCTCAAAACCCGGATAGGTCAAGGTTTGGCACAGTCCCAGCCGGAAATGGGTGCTTTCGCCGCCTGCTTAGTTCTTTACATGTTTCTGGGGATAATTTTGATACCAGGTGTTGATGGCTCATTTGGGGGGTGTCCCTTTTTTGAAGTCGGTACCCCTTTTTTGGGTCATCTTTGGACGGGACTAAGAAAGGAAAACACCGTGGAGTTCCCTGAAACGAGACGTAGCTATTTTGATATGGCACTTGGTACTGTGGATGGTTGCGAAATCCGCTTCTCGCACCACGGAAGGAAACCGTGGTTGCAAACCATAACGTTCATTGGCATTTACGTTGGGGAATCATCAGAAACCAGGGTTTCTGAACGGTGGTGCGAAATGGATTTCGTCCATCCACTTGGTATGGCACTTGTGGCTTGGCAGTTTTGTTGGGTAGGGTGTGTTGGCTTGAGAGAGGGTGTTTTCTCATGTTCTCATCTTTGTTTGGAGCCACATCCATCAGGCCGCCGCATTTGCTTGCTGGTGCGATAGGTAGGGAATGCCCTTCCAGGTGGCGGGAATCAAGAGGTTTTGGGGATTCCCTTAAAGGAAACCACAAGGAATGGCTTATGAGGTTCACTCCAACTCATTCTCTGCTGAAAACCGCAGACTTGCCAAGCACCTGACGATTCGTTCCCTAGGAAATTGCCGCAGACTTGCCAAATGGTCGAGGATGCTGGGTCAGGCTCCAAGCCTGCGGCGCTTGTCATGAGGAAGATCTTTGCAATGTGAGTAGCTTGTGCTTCTCTTTTGGAGTTGGTACCCCTTTGTTATGCGGTTTAAATGGAAACCCAACGGACCCGAATCCACTTTGAAAAAAGACGACACGCCCATGTGATGCCTTGCCTGTGAACAGCAGTTTGCAAAATCAGGCGCCGAGCCACGTGTTTGCTGAGCACGCCAAACCTCTGCGGGAAAACGGCTGGTGTTTGAAAAGAACGATGGTCGAAAAGAATGGAGAATCAACCCCTAGAAAACCGGCGGTGGACTCCAAATTCGGCCTTTCGCAGTCGGAGCTGAGGCTGGAAGCCAGCGCAGTGGTGACCCTGAGGCTACGCCAGAAGATGCGCACTTGGAAGCTTGAGTGTTTGTGACTCCGTGTTGCTGTGGATGGTTGTGGCGTGTTTTTTTGTTGTTTCTTCTTTTCTTTTTCTTTTTACCGGAAACCAGACCCTAAAGGGTCCAAAATGCCCATGGCTTCATCTGGAACACGGTTTGGATGCGCTTTTACGTCGATTTCACCTGTTCTTCCCCCTGTTGGTTCTTTTTGAGTAATCTTTTGGTACTCTTTTAATGTCCTACAGGGGTGGATCCACAAAAGTGACATCCAACCCATTTACTAGATTGGAAGCTGAATTGTTTGTGACTTGTCCGTGATGGTAGAAAGGCCTCATGGATCCTCATGGCGCCTGCCCTGACAGTTGTGTTAGCCCCATACGAGCATACACCCCAAGTCCTAAACTTCACAATGACTTAAGGAAGCCCAGGCTGGTTGCAGACATAAGCCAAACATTTGAACACCGCGTTAAATGTGTTTGAGAATGGGTCATGCCCTGAGTTCATTGTTGGTGCTTGATCCGATTCTGGTTTTGGTTTGAGGCGTGGTCGCAATAGGCACGTTCCTTTATCACGCTAAACTGAACCATGCTATAGGAGCGCGCTGGAAACAAGCTCCCTCCTGTCGACTCCTTCAGGCCGGCGAGCTCATAGATAGCGCCTCTCCTGAAAGCTACGAGCATACACCCCAAGTCCTCTGCACAATGACTCAACATGGGTATGGGTCGAAATTAAACCACCAGGGGACCGCAGGTTTTAGCCCATTTTCCATCTACCAGGACTCTATTTCACATCCACATAAAGGGTCGTTTCCTTTCGGCTTTACTCTTGGTCTGACAACATGCGGTCAATGCGCCCTGCAGGATGTGCACCATCTTGGTGTACATCGGTGTGGCCGAGTTGGGCTGCAGCATTGCCAAGGTGGCAGCAGTTGCCCCAGTTCTGACCGTCAGCGTCAAGGCAGTGTTTGATCGAAGACAGGGGCTGTGGCTCGAAAAAGCACCTTGGCAAATGGAACCAAAGACTAAAACCTGCGTAACCGTAGCTCTTTAATTTTGAGCCATACCCTAAAGGACTCTCTGCAAAGCTTTGAGAGTTCACCCGTCTTGAGCTTGGCACCTCGAACCAGCAAATCAACGTGGGTTTTGCCAAGCAGCCAGATGCAACTTCACTCTGCCGCACATTGGCGTGAGCGCCAGGTTGTAATTTGTCTTGCGGTCCAGCCTAAGTCCAGTACCCATTCACATTTGGCAGCTTTCAACTGCAGCTGGCATTGTTGCTTTTTCAGCACTCCATAGCATCAGCCGGCTTTTGTATAGCTTCCTGCTTGTCACTTGACGTATTGCAAGATTGCGGAACGCAGAGCAGACCAGCAAGAAGACGAACAAAAGATGAGTTTGCCACCAGTTCTTCAACTGTCTAATAATGTTGACCTCATATCAATCAACCCCTGTCTATACAATTCGGGTCTGATTCCCCACCAAACCCAGGGAGAAGCACCCCGCTATGAATAAACAGGGGTTGATTAATATGGTGTCAACATCAAACCCTTTGGCTTTCAAGGTACAAAAATATCACCCTTGAGGCGGTTTAATACGGGGTCGACCTAAGACGGTTTTTCCCTTTTTTGGGCCTGTGTTGAGCGCTACGAGCACTCAGAACTTGATGATGAGGGACGAGGACAAGGAGCCGCAGGAGCGCCCGATTGAATCGGTCAAGCTCGCCGGGCAGGGCAAAGACATGCGTGTGTCTTTCTTCTTTTTTTTTGGGGGGGGGGGACCCCCAAAAATGCGGGTGTTTCTGTGATTTCCCTTGAAAAGCACCAAACAAACAAGGGGCACCGTCAAAAGCAGACAGACCCACGTATATATATATACTGCTATAATAATGCGTATTATATTATAATAATACACATACCCTTATGTATGTATTATGTACTACGTATGTGTGTATATTTATATATACATGTTCCGGAAAAAACGGCTTGAGGTGTCTCCCTTTCGGGCAGCCCCAAGGCTGAAAACGGCCGCTGGCCAGGAGCTGTCCTGGCTGGAGGAGCGGGTGCTTCCCGCGGCCAACGCCTGCGGCGTCGTGTGTAAACTGCAGGCCCGGTCGAACGACCGCAGACGGTGTTTTTTTTGGTTTTGATGGGTTGTATTATGTTGTGCTGGAGGGTCCTTAGTGCATTGTAGGAATGTACTCCCCAAACCCATTTCAACTGGCGATCCATTCGGTACGTGAGGAAAGTGGATGGACGAAATCCTGCACCAGATGGAAACCATCGGAAGCCATTTTGCGTTAGTATTTACAGGGGAACCATCATTTCAGGGTTTCTTAGTTGGTGCAAAATGGATTTCGTCCATCCACAAAAGGGCAGGAACTGCTTACAACAAGCCTGCTTCGAGCAAACTGGGAACAGCTGCAAACAGCAAAGCCCGTTTTGGGAGCCCGCACAATAGTCTTCTTCTACTCTCTCAACCTCTTGCAAGTTCAACTGGGCGGAGGGCATCTTGGATCAGAACGTATCAAATACACATACCCCAAGACACACACACACACACACACATACACTTTTTGCCCCATTTACCAGGGACACCCATCGATATGTTGCCAAACAAGCGCTAGAGTTTCTGAACTGTGCGAAAGATTGGCGCCCAACTTGGCGGTTGCAAAAGGGACACCCAAAGGGAAACCGATGCCATTTTGGGGGTCCCCCACTTAAAGGGGCATGGTACTTAGTATGTGGATGACAACCATGGTTAGAACCCACTTACATTCACTTACCAGGGTTGTAAGTCTCCGTTCAGTGGGTTATTTCATCATTTCTTACTTACTCTCACCAGTAGCATGTCCTTCGCTGCAGGAAGCTGCGGGCAACCCAGAGCTTCGCGTGGAGGATGCTTCCACGCTGGAGGCAGGACATGAGACACCAGCGAAGACTGTGCTGGCTGGCAGATCTGGCAAACTCCCCATGCATGTCTAAAGTGCAGTTGTGCTGTCGTAAAACTGGGTGGCAGTTGACATCATCAGCCTGTCCAGGTGGAGCGATTCTTGGAGACCCTGGAGTCAGTGTTTCGCAAGGATTTGCCGCTCTTCGTCTGAGCTCGCCCATGGTCTGACCCAGAGTTGCGAAACGTCCCACACCACTTGCGTCTTTCAAGAGATTGCCCTTGCCACACTCGATATCGGAGAGCTCGTGGGTTTCTCTTGCAAGCCCCTTTGAAAGAGGGGGCTGACATGATCGGACTCATTGACCCTATGCAGAAGCACTGCAAGCCCAACTGTGCTGTATGTTGGCCTTGCTTGGCCCTTACTGTGGACGAAATCCATTTCGCACCACCTAAGAAACCCTGATTCGCCTGAAAATACCCACAAACTTTCTGGTTTCAATCCCATGAATCCATTCGTGGTGCGAGATTTGCAATGGATCTATCGCGAATCTTCCAGTCGAACTTGTTGCATTCCAGAACTCCTGCAGTCCTCATTCTCACTCAACATAAAGTGGATGGACGGAATCCTGCACCAGATCGAACCTATGGGAAACCAGTGCTGGTTGGTATTTGCAGGGGGAATCATCATTCCAGGGTTTAGGTGGTGCGAAATGGATTTCGTCCATCCACAGTATTGTGGATTTCGACCCAGCTCGCTCACGGATGGTGGGCACGGCGTGCTTCAAAGTGCCAGTGTAGCCGCTAGCCGACGCAGATGCAATGTGCAGCGGGCTGGAAGTGAACACTCGACGCCTTTCGGGCAGTACCTGATTCCCTTTCCTGTTTGGGCCGCCATTGTGCAGATCCTGGCTCCTTGGAAAAAGATCCTGATCTCAGGTTCTGGTTGACCCCTACAAACGATCACCGATTGTTTTCCTGAAAGGGAATCCCTAGGTTTCTATTCCCAACACCCTGGGTCAAGGTTTTGGTTAGCTTGGCTTGGCATGAGTTGGTGGTGTAAAATTGTCAAAGATGGAGTTCTCTTGCTCGTCCGATAGGTAGGGAATGAAGGAGACCGGGTGTTGGAAAATGAACCGTTTAGGGATTCCATGGAAACCACGGGATGGACGGTTTATAGGGGTCATTCCAACTCATTCCATGCTGAGAACCCCAGTGAGATGCACAGGGACCACTGCACATTGCCAGCCCGGCATCCTTGTGCCTATTCGGTTTCACAAAAAAGGCCGCCTGTGCTGTGAATGTTGCGCTCTTTACCTTTCCGCGGTTGAGCTTTGCCTTGGCGAGTGTGGTTCAAGCAGCGAGCCTGTCGCGCACGGTCTGCTTTGCCTTGCGCCCGTCTGAAAAGCATTAGAGATCATGCCTCGCAAAGGCAAGGAAAGCTGCCATGCCATCAACCCGGCCGAAGTCATGAAAGAGACCATGCGCATTTTAGAGAAGTGTTTCTTCAAGCAGGACGGGCTAACTGTAAAACTCGACCGCGGTCGCCTGAAGAGCGCTCCTGACCGCGCGTTCAAGTACGAAGACTGCATCGAAGCGCCGAAGCCAGCGACGACGCGTCCATGTTGCATCCGACTGGGCGAGGACTGTCTGGACGCTGCGGCGGCGCTGTGCGCCGAGCACCCGGAAAGTGTGCCCCTGGTCCTAGACTTTGCCAGCGGCTCCAATCCGGGCGGCGGGCTCAAAGGCAACCAGCAAGGCACCCAAGAAGAGGACATTTGCCGCAGGACCAGCCTGTTGCCATCATTGGAAAGGCAAAGCTATCCTTTGCCGAGGCTGGGCGGAATTTATGCGCCCGACATCTGCGTGTTCCGAGGTCCAGGGAAGATTGGCTACCCACTGCACCGCCCTTTTTGGATCTCGGTTTTGGCCGCTGAAATGCCGAACTGCGGCGACGACCAGAAAGACCAGGACTTTATCGCAAGGAAAGTCCGCGGCGTGCTTCACATGGCTATACAACAAGGTCATACATCCTTGGTTTTGGGCGCATGGGGCTGTGGAGCATTCGGGAACGATCCCATGCTGGTGGCGCAGATTTTCAAGGCCGGCTTGCTTCGTTGCGGGAAGCAATTCATGTACGTACCATTGAGTTCGGCCAGGGTAGACGTCCTTTGCCTTTCAGCGCGTGGCTTCTGCTGCTTACTCTTAGCCGCAACAAACAGGTCAGCACTTTTGGCCACTGCAGCAAGCCTGATAAACGCATCAAAACGAGACACTGCTTGATTCAAAAGACGGGCAGCGACATGCAGGGAGAATCTATGAGGTAATGGCCGAAATCCTGCACCACCAAAGAAACCTAGGAATGATGATTCCCCTGTAAATACCAATGCACAATCAGTATGTGGGGTTGATCAAAAGATCCGGCAAACATGGGGTGACCATTAGGGAGACCACCAGAAAAGATGACTTTCACCGACATGGGAAAACTTACCCATGGTCATTTTGGGACCAAGTATTGATCAACTTTCAAGCGCTCACGGCAATGTTTCGAACTGTTGGCCCCAAAGAGAAGGTAAGTCCACGAACCAACAACTTGGAGTGTCGGAGTGTGTCCCTGAGCAATGTGTGTCTCTGTGTGTGAGTCTCTGTGTGTGTGTGTGTCTCCGTGTCTCCGTGTCTCTGTGTCTCTGTGTGTGTGTGTGTGTCTGTGTCTGGTTCCTCCACTATGGAGGGCAGACTTGCACCAACGCATTCCGCGGCAGCTCTCAATTTTCTTGAAGACAAACTCCGACATGCTGAAACCCTGAACCTTTGGAGAGGGAAATTGGGTCGAAGTGCACGGCTTCGTGGTGATTCCACTAGTCAAGGATCCTGGTAGGGGCCCCTAAGCACAGTAGCAAAAAGGTTTCTCTTCAAGGATTACGGACCCCGGTGAACGTGGAGTACAGTCCGCGCTTGGGGGGATTAGGGTGAAGGCTTGGGATGCCGAATTCTGCCAGGCTGAGATTGCCAAAGTGGGCCACTTGGACATCATCTTCGCCCTGGGGCGAAGCCAAACTGCCGCGTTTCAAGCTGTTTTGGGCCTTGGCGCTGGTCTGGATTCACATGGCCCATCCGTTCAAGCGCCTGCGGAAGCCAAGGATAAGGATGCCCCTGAAGCCGCCAAGGATGCATCGACAGAGGAAGTGGTTGATGAAAAGTGATTGCCCGAGATGTTGTGACTCAATGGAGGTGCCACCGAGCAGTTGCGAGTCGGTTCCAAGCTCAAGTCACAGGTCATGGGACCTTGCCCAGCTCGGAGCGCGGATCCGTTGCCTCCACTGGTCAGCCAGAAACCTGGAGTTTGAGTCGCGCGCCCTTTTCTACACCATGCTGCAAGGGACACAGCTTTTCAGCGCCCGCGAATCTCGGGCATTGTGAAGAGTGCACACGGCGAAGTGCAAGAGCAGTTGGCGCATCCAGCAAATCCAAGCCACTGAAGTTGCTTGTGGATGATGGTGGTTGCAGCCAGGTGCAGGCTGAGTCTTGCTTGCCGTGTGGCGAAGGCTACCGCACAGGCATAGAGTTGCGATAAAATTATACATTAAATTGATTTCTCTTTGGGCTTTATTGGAATTCAAATTTATTTTATATACTATAAATTATTAAAAAAAAAAAAAATATAACAAATATCATGTAATTATTGGTTCAATTTATTATAATTTAAATTGTTATTAAAATTAGGAACGGAATAACATAATTTTCGTGCCTAAAGTGGAGTTGGGTTGTGGGTAAACCAAATTCTATCTTCCGACTCTATTTTGTGATTAATGTTCTCGAATTGTTCGATTTAAACATTTAAATTAAATTTCTTATTATATTATAAATTATTAATTCTTAAAAAAAATATATATATAGATATATATAAATACAATTATTCTAATTACCTTTTAAATCTATTTAATTTATAAATATTTTTAAAAAAATAATTAATATATATGTTTTATATTTTAATAAAATAATAATTATAAAACACATATATAATAATATATATTTTAAAATTATTTATTTAATATTATTAAAAAAATAAAATATATATTATTATTTTATATTATATTTATTTTATTTTATTTATAATTTTTATATAATAAATTAAAATAATTTATATTTAATAGTATTTAAGGACAAGCATATAAATATTAATATTTATATAAATAATAATTATTATATTAAATAAATAACTAATTTTAATTAAACAATTCTTTTTAGGAAAATAATTAACCCAAATTTATTTTTGCTCGACCTAAATAGTTGGAGCTGGATTAAATAGCCACCTGAGGCTCTTTTTTTTTTTTTTTTTTTCTTAATACCACTTAGAAAAAATAATATTTTGTCGAAAATTTGAGCACTAAATCGGTTTTTTTAATACCAGAACGGCTTTTGGTTTACCATGTTTAGTTTTATGTAAAATGTACGAGATGCGTTTACGAACGGTGTTAAACGATTTTTGAATGTTTTACGAACAATATTTCCAATACCAAATCCTAGATATGGCCGATATCATAAAGCAAAAAGAACATAAATATATAATGAATTATACAAAAATAATATAATCGATAGATTCCCAGCAAGCGATAGCAATATAATTCCGCAAGCCTAAATGGTTTTTGTAACATCAATATTAAAATTTCAACATCAAGCAAGCTAAACGGTTTTTATAACACCAATACTAAAATTTCATCACCAAGAAAACAAAACAATCATTTTCCTAAAAATCAATCAAATTCAATAATTTTTAGGTAATAAATATATTCAATTAATTCCATAATAAAATTAATAATCTATAATATAATACATTATTCAATTTAAATCTTCAATTCGAGATATTCCAAAAGATTAATAACAAAACAAAATCAAAAAATAAAATCTTAACCATCCAAAAACCAACACCATTTTAGGCATGAAGATTACATCTCCCCATTCCAATCCAAAAACAAAATTCACAATATGCAATTCAAATCAAACACATATAACCATACAAAATGTCAATCAAAAAAACAAATCAAAAATAAATTTATCAATTACAAATTAAAAAAAAATAATCGTAAACCACGCCATTACATATCAAAAATAATCAAAATAATCATCAAAAACAATATACAAAACCATTCCTTAAAATATACCTCCAAAATTACATATATACGGCCAAACACCGCCTCCCAATATCTTTCATATGCCAAATAATAATTTCTCTACAATTCAAATAACAATTCGGCTTAATATAATATTAATTTAGAATTAAAAAAACAAAAATCAAATCATTTATTTCCAATAATCAAATATATTTTAGCCGCCTCTCCAAATTCCAAGATACATTTATATAAAATAATAATCAAGTAAATTCGTTGTACAAATGTATCTATGTATATAAAGTACGTCATTATATTTATGTCGAGTGAGTTGAAAATTGATATGTTGTTTGCCCTCCGATTTCTTCCTTTAAACCTACCCCAATCGATCGGTATTGCATTTTCCGGACGCTACCGACATCAAAGGCGGCGTTGTGATTGCGACCTGGCGATAACTCGCGCTCCATCTAACAACAAGGATAATCGCACTTATGCATATATAATTGGCCTAACCGGGGTTGCCAAGAACTTACCCAAAATCACAGGGGACAACCAAGGATCATTGTACAAGTCATATTCTTCCCACCCCACCCCAGGGCATATCACAGAGTTGCCTTGCCCTTGGACACTATGGAAGTTGCAAAATATACAGTAGGGGTCGGTGCTTGCATAGTGGGCGCTCAGATTATCAGATTCTGTGAATAGGCTTAAACACTTCGCACAAGCGATGGGTCTGGATTACCATCAATGCCACAAACGTTCTTACTTCTTCAAAACAATCCCCTGAAACTGTGCCATTTGGGGTCACGGGAACCCAACCCCTTAAAGTCGATGTCCTGTTGGCGTCCGTAAAGACTGGCCGGTAAACAGGCCTGGCAAAGTTTCCGCTGCAAATCTGTTGGAAGTCCCGCCGGGTTGAATCCCATCTGGATCGGATTCACCAGTCTAGCGGGGCCCAATTGGGTGTTATGGTGGTGAGCTGGGTGCTGAGCAGAACCTCTGGACTATGGACCGGGTTTCATCGCGAGCCATGCATGCAAAGTGAACCTTTGGAATCCCTGCAATGTCAACCAAAAAGCACGTACCACGAGTTTTTCCTCCTGGATCCGCTTTTCAAGGTTGGTGTCCAACAGGGGCGTGTACCGCCCCCAAACCGGGTAAACCTCCCATGAAGGTCTCCCAGTCTACCCACATTCCGGGAGAATGTTCGGGTAAGTGGAAAAGAATGGAAAAGAGGTACAGTAGAAACTCATCACTCGGTTGCTTTCTGCTCCCCTGCAAAAAGTTTTAAACTCTTACTGGTTTAATGGAAAGCCCAGTAGTTGGCTAAAAGCTAAGGTCCTAACATCCAAGCAAAATGCACCTCTGACTCATCACTTCTATTTGGGGAGTTCATGAAGCGGAACAATGGCCCAACATCATCTTCGGCAACAGGGCACACTGAAAGTGGCGATACTGTGGATGGTTGCGAAATCCACTTCGCACCACCTAAGGGACCCTGGTTTCTGATGATTCCCCTGTAAATACCAACAAGCAATGGCTTCTCATGGTTTCAAAGTGGTGCGAAATGGATTTCGCAACCATCCACAGTATGATTTGACAACACCATTCTTCAAAGAACCTTAGCAGCGGGCGCAATTGACACAGAACCTCCCGTTCTGGTTTGGACAATGTTCTTTTTGAAGGCACCCCCGTTCCCGAAGATTAGGTTCCGGCCGTGAAAAGTTTGGGATGGTAAAGAAGGAAAACAACCCAAATTTAACCCTCAAAAAGTCTGCTTGGTGTTGAGTGTAGAGTATCTGTTGCAAGCTACCTGGATCCCCAGCAAGGCCGAAGTATTTTCCAGCCACTTTCGATAAAAAAAAGGCTACTAGTCAATAAAGTGGCTGGAAAAAAAAAGCGGCCACTTGGGCACCCAGGTACCCTCGAATTGGCGAGGACAAACCACCCCAAAGCGTAGTGAGAACCCCTGCCTACTCCAAATGCCCGGCCTTTTTTCAGTTGGTCTCATGTCGACCCTCTACTTAAAAAGGGATCGGTATTCTTCATGAAAATTCCAGGTTTCCACAAAAACCGACTGAAGAAAGCGGGTACTTTAAGTAGGTGCAGCTCTTCGCATGCGCCAGCTGGAGCCCGGTTCTTTACGCCTTCGACACCCGAACCCCCGCTCACCTACCCACGGTGGAGGCTCGCGAGCCTGTGGATTGGGACGTGGCAAGAAAGAAAAATGCATCCACTGCTATAAGGTGGATGCCCCCACAAATCCAACCCACAAAACCATCGAAAATTACAACGTCTACAAATCCAACCCACAAAACCATTGTAAAACACAACGCCTACAAATCCAACCCACAAAACCATGGTTTTCATACAACGTCTACAAATCCAACCCACATCTGGATGGTTTCCCTTGCTCCCGAATGGTTGCTCCTGATTCGGAAGGCCCCCCCCTTCAAGGTCGACCAGGTTTGGACAAGCGATGCGCCCAAACTAAGATTCTTTGGAGGACCCCTGATTCATCTGGAGCCCCTTTGGTCCTCGTCCTTTCACTTCTGGCCCCCTTCAGCCAATTCAACTGGAAACAGGGAGCTGGAGAACCTCCTCGGTTGTTACCTTGGCCCTTTCCCGGCGATATATTCTCGGACTTGAAATCAAATGGCAAAAGAGCCCTGATTAATTCGCGGGCCTTTCTGTTACTGACGGGAGGCGGAAAAATGCATTTTGAGGGAAGCACATTTGTTTGGACATCTTGAGGGGTTAATGGTTGCGCAGTGCTGGTGGGTGTAAGCAGGTTTTCTCGACTTTGAGGCTACAGGGTGGCACCTTCAATCGCGGGAGGTCAGTAGAAGACCGAACAAAGCAAACCGAGAATCGCCTGTGGGTTTACTAATCGTGTACTGACACTACTTGCAATATGCAGGGCATCGACTCTTCGCGTGTTGTAGGCTTCGGGTGAGGCAGTCGCAGTTCTCATACTTCCAGGGCGATCCAGCTGCAAAAAGTGGTTAATGCTTACCTTGTTCGTCCGGAGGCCTACTTCCCAACACGAAAAAGCTCATTTGATCCAACCCCTGCCCTAAGCCCCCTTCCTGGTTGCCCATCTCAGGCCCTGCTGAGGCTTTTCATCCTACTGTGGAGGGTTGCGAAATCCACTTCGCACCACGGAAGGAAACCATGGTGGAAATCATGATTTGTTGGTATTTACAGGGAATCATCAGAAACCAGTGTTTCTGAACTGCGGTGCGAATGGATTTCGCAACCATCCACACTACAAGAATGTGTTTGTTGTATTTGTCCCTCGGTTCAGGGGAAATCGTGGCAGAGGGGGTCAGCGCGCTACCCTCCTGCTGGTCTCACTTCAGGATCTAGAATGCGAAAATCATTTGCGCGCCACAAAGACTTGACACCCACAAACTAGGAAGACCCACTTTGGGCCGAAAATTC